TTAAAAGAATTGTAAATAATGCTTCCAACTATTTGGGTCAGGGTTATAACTTTTTTTGGATTGAGTTCCAATTGAGTAACTCAAATTAGCTAGATTACAACTGTATTAATCAGATTTTAACTATTTTAGATTGAGTTATAAGCTTTTGGTATGAGATTTAATTTTTTAGGATTGAATTATATTTGTTTGGGGTGATTCTAACTTTTTGGGATAAAGTTTCAATTTTTGTGCATTAATTTATATTTTTGGCTCACCTTTCAATTTTTTTAATTGAGTTATAACATTTTGGGTTCCAATTTTTGCTTGAGATTTCAACTTTTTTTAAATTAAATTATAACTTTTTTCGGTAGGGGTTTAAACTTTTTCGTTAGAGATTACAACTTTTTTGAGTAGGTGTTTCAACTTTATTGAATGAGGTATAATTCTATTGAATGTGGTACAACTCTTTTGAATTAGATACAACTCTATTGAATATGTTACAACTCTTTTGAATTAGATATTATTTTTTAAAACAATCGATTTTAAACACCTAAGTATTACATGTACAGTCCACCTCACTTTTTGGTATTATAACGAAAAATAGGCTAGCTGTATATAGCTGTATACTAGTGTTACCCCCTTGGTATACAGTGACTCAGTTAGACACGAAATGTGACAATGACTCCGGCACGAAATGTCACGAAGTCTTTCGAACAATCCACGCAAAAATATTAATTTTTTTAATTTTTTATGTGAGAGAAAATAAAAGAAAGATATGTTAATATTATCTAGAAAAAGATCTCAACTATTATTTTTATTTTTTACCACACAGAGGGAGATAGAGTATTTAATTTTAATTTTAATTTTTTTTATTGGATAGAGAAAGAGTGGATGAGAATAAATATAAGTTGACTTTTTAAATTTTTTAAATTTTTAAGTTTTTAATATTATGAATTGAATTATAGACCCAAATTATTGCAATAAAAATTTTAACTGAGTTTAATTTTTTGGGTTTTTTTGTAGGATTTAAAATTTAATAAATTAAAATTTTTTTTTTGTGGACTAGTGATATATCTAAAATTATAAGACTTTCTAGAAATTTGAGACCTAAAATTCAGACTTTTTTTTTTTCATACTATTGGACCGGCCTTGTTTTGAGGAGGGAAAAAACTTTTCAATGTGACAAGTACTGTAACATTAATGTTAAACCCTTACCACTACAATCCAACCCCTAGAACCACACTTGTGTGTGACACATCCCACATTTTCGAAAACAGATGACATTGAATACCAAATGATAACTCTTACCACGCTGTTATCACCATGCCATCGAATCGAGATGCTCAAACTTTACAGTGCTTGTAACATCCCACAAACAGTGTCCTATTGTTCAATTTGCATCTTGTCCGTTTTAGATTGCATCAGACGATAAAGATCTAAAATTTACATTTATAAAATATTTCACGAGTAATGTTATACTGATCAAATTTTAAGATTAAATTTAGAGGCTAAATAACATGACAATTGACTTGAACTTCTTTGATTTGTGTCATGTCATTTGAATCCCAATAAAAATTTTAAATAATCAACTGTCATGTCATTTTAGTTTCAAATTTAATCCCAAAATTTAGTCAGTGTAGTATTACTCATATTTCACCCATATTTCTTGAGCAATATTGTGAGATGGGTCTCAGTCATATGTAATATTTGTTATATATATAAATAAATATATCTATATAATAAATTAGTAAGTTGAATTTTTATCTCTTATATATTTTTTTACCAACAAAAATCATTTTACTTAATTCTATCGCATGTTTAATTATTTAATGTTTAATTAATTTATAATTTAATATAATTTTTATTTCATATATTATTTATACACGATAGTGTACATATGTTAAAAATTTTTTTTGAATTATGCATTTTGAGAAAGTTTTGACTCTATTTTTAAGAAAATAATAAGTATAAATTTATTTTAAATGATATAAGTAAAAAAATTAATTTTAAATTAAGTATTGTAGGTTCAATTTTTTAAACGGTAAAATCTTATATTTTATAGTGCCGCCTAAGACTACTATATATATAACAAAAACCAAGAGCTGCGAGACATCCATTGTCTTCAAATGGCAACCAAAACCCTTCTCTTCCTCTTCTTGTCTCTCTTCTCTCTCCTCCAGCAAAACGTTTCCACTGCACAAAATGTTAACGCTGGCTACTGGTTCCCTGACAGTGGACTGGCGGCCTCCGACATAGATTCAACCCTCTTCACTCATCTCTTCTGTGCCTTTGCCGATCTTGATTCCCAAACCTACCAAGTCACAGTCTCCTCCTCAAACACCTCCCCATTCTCTCTCTTCACACAAACTGTCCAGCTCAAAAACCCCTCTGTTCAAACCCTTTTATCCATTGGTGGTGGAAACTCTGATACAACAGTCTTTGCTTCAATGGCTTCCGATTCAACCTCTCGAAAAGCTTTCATTGATTCTTCAATTAAACTGGCCAGAGATTATGGGTTTCTTGGTCTAGACTTAGACTGGGAATACCCCCAATCAGCGCTGGACATGGCCAACTTGGGTTTACTTTTAAACGAGTGGCGGGCGGCAGTGGCCACCGAGGCAGGAAACTCCGGCAAGCCACCGTTGCTTTTAACAGCCGCAGTCTCATATGCACCAACAGTTAATGGATTGAATTACCCAATTCAATCTATATCAAACGGCTTAGATTGGATTAATCTCATGGCCTATGATTTTTATGATCCAACAAGGTCTGATGTGACTAGATCACATGCGGCACTGTATGATCCAACAGGTCAAGTTAGTGGGAGTTATGGGATTGGAGCTTGGATTCAAGCTGGAATCTCTGCAAACAAGCTGGTTTTTGGGTTTCCATTTTATGGGTATGCCTGGCTTCTGGTAAATGCTAATAACCATGGTCTCTATGCTCCGGCTAACGGGCCGGTAGGTTCCGGGAATGGCGCGATTACTTTCCAGCAGATCGAGGCGTTCATAACCAATAACAAGGCCACAACTGTGTACAATGGTACAATAGTTTCAGATTATTGCTATGCTGGAACGACATGGATAGGTTATGATGATACCCAAACTATTTCCACCAAGGTTTTGTATGCTAAGCAGAGAGGATTGCTTGGTTACTTTGCTTGGCATGTTGCTGCTGATAACAATTGGGTCCTTTCACAACAAGGTTAGTATGGATTCATCCACATCATTCATAAGACTTTGATCCTTTTTGATAAGTGCACACTATTCTTTTTGGACGCTATAATGGAACCTTGGGTAGGTAGAGGTTTGAAAATTTTCTTGAGTCGCTTCGCTTGATGCTCGAAATTTACACCGCTCATCTCATCTCATCCCATTTCACGCCATCCCGAATTTATACTAAGGAAACTACCCAATCGAATGGTTGAATTTTGAGGAACAATCTACAAAAATATTAACTTTTTCTTTTAAATCAAATGAGTTTTTACAAAATAAGAGAAAATAAATAGTTGTAAGTACATGCATCTGATTTGGCTAATTATATAATTATATATATATATATGTAAAAAGAGCAATGTTATATACACGGAAGTCATTATAATTATTATATTAGTTATGAGTTCAAAGTTTAGATTAAATTTATTTTCAATCCAATTACTACAATTAATTAAGTCCTTAGACGAGGTACCAATAACATTTTTTATATAAAAAATCTCATAATTAGACATTTGGAAGGAAATGCTTCCGTAGGGCCTCTTTCCTCTAAGTTTATTCTGTTATTTATATAGATAAATTTGCCAAGTCATTTTTACAATTATAAGAGTTTGCCACAAATTTCCTTTCACTTTCACAATTTTCCACGGAAGACTTGTTCAACGAGTTAGTCCCCCTTAGACTAGTTCAAATTTGGGTAGAATGCATTTTTTGTGCCCAAATTATGAGTTTTATGTCAGTTTTGTCTTTAATATTTTAATTGTGTTAATTTTGTCCCTAAATTTTTAATTTTTTGTCATTTTGGTCCAATCGAAAATGACACTTGGAATTTACTAATAGAAAACGTCGCATGCATCTCATGTAATTACACTTTAGACGCATTTTTCAAAAATTTTAGGGACTAAAATGACACAAACTATAAACTTAAAAGACTAAAATACTATAAGTTACTATTTTGAGGGACCAAAGTGACCCCTCAAGTGTGATTACGTGAACATCTCCATTTGTCAATTCAGTCATTTTTGGGTTGATTAAATTGACACAAATTGAGAGACTAAATAAACACAATTAAAAAATTGAAAACCAAATTAACACAAAGCGCATACTTGATGGACTATCAACGTATTTTACCGTGTGATTTCTAAATTCATAAGAAATTATAGTCCAAGTCCCAACTGTTAATTTCTTATTTGATTCATATCATATTTTCTTCGAAAATTATACATATCTCAAGAATTACCCTTTTCTCATTTTGATCCCATTTCGTTCTAATGCTGGGGCCTATTTATTGTCATTGCAGCTCAACAAGCTTGGGGATCAAATGCTTCCAGGGATCAAGGAAAATGAGGACGATGATTAGTGCAATATGTAGTGAGAAAAAAGTTAAATAAAACATATTGCTAACTAATAATAATAATAATAATAAAAATTGGTTTGTTAAAGTATCGATTTTTTTTTTTGGCCATGTATTTTTTTTTTCTTTTTTTGGAGAGATTACACATATGGAAATTGGTTCCATTGTTTTTCCAAAAAAGGCCACTCATGCGAGAGTGGAGGCAGAATGGGATTGCCTCTAATATATTTTTTCTCCATTTTTCTCTTTTATAAATCACATATTGTGAATTTAAGTAAGACTTATTATAAATAAATGGGGTCTTCACTAATACATTGTGAGTGAATTAATATTGAAAAAATATATTAGAGAAAATCTGATTCGAGAAAAATTACAGGACTCTTGAACCACAAAAATTTTACAACGAGCCAGTCCCAGTTCAACTAGACCAGCAGACATTTTCTTTGGGCTATGTCTTCCTATAGTATATCTCGATATGGATGACTTTCAACAATGTTGGCTCAATCCGTATTAAAAGCACCCCCTCAAAACCAAGGTGGTACTAAGCTATTAATACTAGGGTTGCAATTTGGTTTAAGGTTCTTAAATGAGAACTAAACAGAATTAAGGTAGTTACAATAGTTAGTGCACGTGTTTTTTGGTGTACTATTGCACAAGTAATCCTTGTTGTGAGTAATATTAATCCAAGAGGCCTAGGGGACAATCTTCTCTAAAAGAGAAGGATGATTTCTTATATCCCATCTTTAATGGTCTCATTGTGCTCGTGTAGATATTTTCTCATCTATTGTAACTAGCGGTAACTCAAGTGATGTACAAATTTCATAATAATCTATTGTGCGATGCATGGTAAGTGAAAGGTTAAGAGAAATAAGATGAGATGAGGGAGAAGATGGGATAAATATTAGTTTTTGAGATTATTTTTTTCATTTAATGCAACTAATACTTTCAATAATTGAAAGAGGCCAATCTCATGAGAGGCCATGTAATATTTTTAAGAATTAAAAAACCAAAAAGTAGGAAGAAAATTATGATTGAGTTTTTGAAGCTCATTGGAACCAACTACATTACTATTTATGTATAGATTATATTATCTAAGGTTGTAATAACTAATTGTTTGATGTAATAGAGATCTATTTCTGTATATAAACATAAAATAATATTATTCAGCGATAAGGCTTATTTAAAAGTACATTTTCGGTAATGATCCACCTTTTGCTGATCCTGGTGGTAACCATATGCATCTTGATCACAACGAATTATCATGCTCCCCATGCTAGTTTAGCTGCTACAAAAGTCAAAAAAACATCATATTAGAACGATTTAGAATCAAAATCACGTAATATGTATAATAATTGTCTCGGGCTTTGTTTATTTTGATCTTTAATTTTTAATTTTTATTACTTTGATCCTCAAACTTTTATTTTAGATTACTTCGGTCAAATCAAAAATAGCAGCCTGCAAGGTATCTAAAGCTTGTGGCATGTTCATGTTCATTTTTTTAAAGGAGGCATAGGGCACGACGATTTCCACTATATTTTCAGTGCAATGCTATTGGGCCACATTAAGTTGGTGGGAGAGTGGGGGAGGGAACACTTGCCCTCCCCGACTTTTGAACTTCCGTTACATATGCACCCCTAATTTGTTTAATTGAACATATCTGCCCTCCATAATTTCATTAAAATTTGTGTAAGTGCTCTTATTTTTTTTAAAAAAATATTCAATAAGTTGGTGCCCTATTGCTTCCCTAAAACAAACAAAAGTTTTATATGGATCTCTTTTGCATTGCTATTTATTTTTAAAAAATATTTGTATAGTTAGCCTGGATCATTTTTAAATATGCTATTAGTTCAAAAGCCAATAAAACACGAAGAAAAGGTAGAATATAAAATACCATAACACAAAAGTATTTCTTGTTATTTCAAGTAGAAGAAAGTGATAGAAACATTCAATTCAATTATTACAGACAGTTTTTGAGATTTGAAAGAATGTGTATCACACTTCAATATATGATTGAGTAGAAATATTTTAAGAAACTAAGGGGGTGTTTGGATTGTGTTTGTAAAATAGTTTTCTGTTCTCAAATTTCTAAAACTAAGAGAAAACTTGTTTGGTCGGGTTTTTTGTACTCCAATTTGTAGAAAAAAAGTGGGAATTGAATTATGTTTTTTGAGATGATGTTCTATCAATTTTCTAAGCCAGAATGAAAACATGAAAAACACCCATCTCCTCTTTAACAAGGTCTCAACTTCTAGTTTCTTCAGAGATAGTTTCCACCTCTCTTTCGCAACTCAGTTCAGTAGTGCCTCTCTTTCTCTCTCTCTCACTCGCAACTCTCTCTTTCTCGAATCTAACAAATACGTATATATACATAGATCTGTGTGTGGGTTTGTTGTGTGTGATGTGTGTATGTTTGTAGTGTGAGTGTATGTGTGTGCGGGTGTGTGTGTTTGCTATGTGTGTGGGTGTGTGTTTACTGTGTGTGCATGAGAGAGAGAGAGAGAGAGAGAGAGAGAGAGAGAGAGAGAGAGGGGAAAGACAGAGAGATGGGGCTGGAGAGAAGAGGAGCAGAACTGATAAGATAAAAATTGGGCTCGGGGTTTTGTGGATCATTGGCCAAACATGTTTTATTATTTTTTGTTCTTTAAAATTATTTTAAAAAACATATAATCAAGCAGATTTTGCAATATAAAAATATCAAAAAAAAAAAAACTTTCTTAAAACTCTATTTTGTTTTGAATATTGTTTTTTAAAATGCAATTCAAACACGACCTAAAATTTTGTGTGTTTTCATTCTTATTTTATTTAGGTTAAGTAAAAGTTCGCTTTAGTACTGTTAAATAAACTAATTTAGAGTTAAATCTTAGAATGATTTACCACTCAGTTTATTAAAATTCGGACTGATTAGAATTTGATTCGAGCAAATTAAAATTTATTTTTTACGTATTAAAATTCGAGTCGATTAAAAATTATATTTTTTTACGTATTAAAATTTGAGTTAATTAAACTTCTATTTGAGCCGACTAAAAATTATTTTTAATCAGCTCAAATCAAATTTTAATCAACTCACAATAAATTTTAATCGGCCAGAATTTTGATACATAAAAAAATATAAATATAAATTTTAATCTATTGGCATGAATTTTAATAAGTGAAAAAATATAAATTTTAGTAGACTCGAAGATAATTTTAATCAGCGCTAATAATTCAGGTAGAACTCAAATTGACGCGAATTTTAATACGTAAAAAAAGAATTTTAATAAGCTCGAATTTAATACATATAAAAATAAAGTTTAATCAGCTCGAATAAAATTTTAATCAGTTCATATTTTAATATGTAAAAAAATAAATTTTAATTGGTTCGAACTTTAATCAAATTTTATGTTAAAAGATTGTTTGGGGGTTTATATAGGGATATTTTTGGTATTTTAGATAAATTTTTTTTGTTAGAAATAGTGATTTAATGTTAGAGGGTATTATTGATGTTTAAATATAAATTGGAAGGAGTTTTAGTGATGTTTTTGATAATAGAATAGATATCTTTTAAAATATAATAAATTAAAAAGGGTGTAACTGAAATTTTTCCATATTGTACTGTGGACGATGGCCTTTTCCATGGTCAACTGACTCAACTCCTTGCAAATCAGTTTTCAAATCAGCAACACTCGGTACTCCATGTGCAAACCTTTGTTTTTTTTGGTTGACCATGTGCAAGCCTTCAGACAACGGAGAATGCAACGAATTTTTTTTAATTTTTGTTGTCGTACAATTATATACGATTTTAAACATTTTGTTTATAATTTTTGAGGAATATTTAACATTTTAAGGTCAATTCTACGGATATTAGAATTGATCGCAAATATTAAAAAAGTTATACATTGACCAAAACAATTATAATTTCAACCATAAAAATTGTAATATAATCTTTTTTTAGAATCGATCCTAGCCTTTTAGGATAAATCCTAAGTTTTTACATGTAACTAGATCCCAAAAACTTGAATAGCAACTGAAAAATTAATGTATATGAAAGGAATAACTCATTTTTATTATGTAATGCATATTATAATCATCACAATACCAGAGAGGTGGAGAAAATATTCATTATATCATACAGTAAGTTGATGTGGTGTCACAAATTAATAATATTAAAACAAATAAACAAATAAATCCCAAAAAAATTAATAACTAACCTGTCATGTAAGTAAATAACTCGTCACTCTTATTTCATGTAAGTTTACATGAGGTTTACTTTTTCAATTTGGAGTTTTATTATTGGTTGGTGATACCATGTCATCAATGGTGACATAGTATTACCGTTGTATTCAATATTTATTCCACTGAGTGAGGTGGTCCAGTGAGGCATCGGTCTAATTTTTTTTTCTGAGATTAGAGATTCGAGTATTGGAGTCCACATTAGAGTTCGATGGTCGACCGTTATGCTCGGTTAACTAAAGATATTCCCAAAAGGTATAGCGGGACTTGTCAAGGGGCTTAAGGAACTCACCAGTGATGACTATCGGAATAATCACTGGGTGCCACCTTTACCCCATTCCTTTTCCAAAAAAAAAAAAAAAAATCATCATAATCAAAGCGGGTAGTTTTTAGTTTTCTCATGTTGACAATGCAACACGGCATTGCAAAGACTCAGCATCTTCTTCGAAGCAACCTTCTATGACTCTTGAATTCTATCAGTTGATTCTCCCACTTGCAATTTTTTTCTAATTATACAGCAAAATGGTGACCCACTTGGTTTGTTAAGATTGGAAATTGCTGGTCCGCCTTAATGCTTATGAAGAATCTTTAACCTGCTTCTGGAGAAAGAAGAAAAAATAGGTGCTGAATCAGCTCAGCTCCTCCTTACACGTTCTTGCATCATCTGGATTAAAATAAAGGTAACATACCCTTTTATAAGCTTGTTTCTTTTGATGTGTTTGTTTTTTTGTTTATGCCAGTAGTTTCGATATAGTTTTTATTTTATTTTTTTGTAATGCTTTTGGTGATTACTTTAGT